ATAAGGAGGAGGAACAAAAGTCTTCTCACTTGCTGGAGTAACAACTTCATCATCTTTTACTGTTTTCTTCTCTTCCCCAACCTTTCCTTTACCCTTAGCTTCAATAATCTTCTCTAGGATCTCATCATTGATCTTCTCATCCACAATCGCAACTTCGTCATCTATATTGATGGTTACCCCCTCACCTTGTTTCTCAGCATCCTTGTTGAGAGTCTTGGAAGCTAGTTCTTTTCCACTCCTTAGGGTGATGGCTTTCATGGTCTCCTTGGGGTTTTTCTCAGATTTTCCAGGTAAGGACCCTTGCTGGCGATTTGGGTTTGTGTTCATGGAAGCAAACTGGTTCTCTAAAGCCCTGAACTTGTTGTTGAGGTCATTGTAACTGACATCAATCTTGGCATGGAGGTTCTTGAGCTCATATCCAACATGTTTTTCACTTCTTGTCTGAGACTCCAGAATCTGTTTCAGTAGAGCGTCAGTGCTGATTTCCTGTGGAGTAGACGAAGAAGGGTTAGGCTGCTGTGGCTGTTGGGAAGGCTGGTTCCCTTTGTTGGTGAAACCTGGAGGTGGGTTCTGCTGAGACTGATAACTCCCTTGCTGGTTGTTCCTTTGCTGGTAACCTCCTTGTGGGTAGTTGTTGTAACGGAAGTTTGGTTCTTTCTTGTACCAACTACCATTGTTGTTAATGAAGCACAACTCTTCTTGGCCTTCTATTCCATCAACCTCATTTGTCACAGGTTGTGTTTCGTTGCTTGAGTTCCCAACAAAGTGCAGCTGTTCTTGAGTAGCCTTTTCTGCAATGAGGATGTCAATCTTATCCTGCAGAGCCTTCAGTTCCTTTCTTGTCTGCTTATCATCTCCCCTACTACCTCTGTCATGATCACCGCTGTAGACCACGTCACTCTTAACCATGTTGTCTACCAGCTCCTCTGCATCCTCTTCAGACCTTCCCAAGAAGAACCCATTGCTGGCTGTATTCAATCTTGCTCTATACTTAGGTAAAGCACCTATGTAGAAAGTACTGAGCAAGCTCTCCTTAGAGAAACCATGGTGTGGGCATTGTGCTTGATAACTCTTGAATCTCTCCCATGCTTCGCTGAATCCTTCCAAGTTCTTTTGCTGAAAGCTGGATATCTCATTCCTCAACTTGGCAGTCCTTGAGCTAGAGAAAAATTTCTCCAAGAATGCTCTCTTGCACTCATCCCAAGTAGTGATAGAGTCACTAGGTAAGGACTTCTCCCACTGACGTGCTTTATCCCCCAAAGAGAAAGGGAATAGTTTCAGTTTGAATGCATCCTCGGACACACCATTGGTCTTTGACAAGCCACAGTAGCTGTCAAACTTGTCCAAGTGATCAAATGGGTCTTCAACAGGTAACCCATGATACTTGTTGTTCTCGATCACGTTGAGGAGTCCTGGTTTCACCTCAAAGTTGTTGGCTTCCACAGCTGGCGAACGGATTCCCAACCTATTGCCATGAAGGTTTGGACGGTCATAAGTGCCGATAGGGCGAGCTGGACGAGGTGGGTGAACTTGGTTTTGTCCACTGACGTTAACCGGTGGGTCCATCTCAATATCCAACCTCTGCTGTTGTGCAAGTTGTGCTGCTTGTTTTCTCTGTCTTGATATCTCTCTTTCGAAAGCCCGGATGTTTGGAACTCTTGGAACAAGGTTTGTTGTGCCTTTGCTCCTCAAGTTCATACACCTGAAATCCAAAAAGAGTTGAAGATAGAGAATCAGTAACAAAATAAAATAAAAATGACTTAGTCTCAAGCAAGTGACTAAATCTCAATGTTTCAATCTACTCAGAATTTGGCAATGGCGCCAATTTGATGTTAAGAGTTTTCAATGCTCCTAAGACAACTGATGTAGTATAAAAGATTGTCGAACCAGTTCTGAGAGACGTAAAAGCACCGAGAATGCAAGTACTAGCTTAATCTAAGTGCGATCATGTGGTTGATTGGTTTTTGAATTACAACTAATACTGAAATGCAGTAAAGAATGCGATGACTGAATAAACTTTAACAATTAAGAGACGGGAGAATCCATGGGTACAGGGAATTTGACCTTGGATGATCAGTTTTCGAACTAAGAGTGGCAAGTGATCAATTAAACTATCTACCTTAGGCCTAGACACAATTCTAAACAAGCTCTATGTCTAGATGAATGTTCATTTGCAAACACAATTCAAACATCAAACTTCTTTGGTCGAATATCATGAAAGCAATCATTAAGAACAAGTCTCTTAGCCATCTTAACACCTTTAACAACAAGTATCATTGGTAAAGGATGTTAAAAGCTTAGGAGAGTTGACTCAGACATTTCATCGAACACTTTGTGAGTGGGAAATGTCTAAAGATCAACTTTTGAGTGGCCAACTCAAGAGAAGCATTAGGATCACTCTACAAGAAAGGAATAGGAGAAATCTAAACTAAACACTCTAATTCTAGACTAATCATCCTTAGTCTCCCTAACCCATGAATTCAAGGGTGATTTACTCACTACACATCATGATTACTCTTAAACCCATTTTAGATTCAAGTTTAATCATGTAGATGATGAAATAGACAAGTCAAACAATGAATAATGAAATCAATGATCTTAAAAGANCCTAACCCATGAATTCAAGGGTGATTTACTCACTACACATCATGATTACTCTTAAACCCATTTTAGATTCAAGTTTAATCATGTAGATGATGAAATAGACAAGTCAAACAATGAATAATGAAATCAATGATCTTAAAAGATGAACTTTCCAATAGGTTTTCAAGTATTTTCTTCAAGAACAAAGATAGATCTCCAATGGCGGCTTATAGAGTACTTAACTTAGGTTTTTCCAATGTTAGAACATAAAAGAAATGACCAAAAGGTCCCAAAATAAAACAGGTTTTTCGCACACAAAAGACGCGCAGCGGGGTCACTACACCGCTGCCGAGACCCCGCTCCGGAGCTCACAGCGGTGTCATGCCCCCGCTGCCGACCCCCCGCTGTGATTGCTCTCTTTCTTCTTCAAAAGGCGAGCGGGGTTGGGTACCCGCTACCGAGACCCCGCTCCAAGGCACACCGACCCTTGACTCCGCTGCGTCACCTCCGCTCCGGCTGGTATTGGTCGCAGCGGCCTCTTGACCCCGCTGTGGCTGCTCCGGCTCGCCAAATATCACCTTTGTGCTCTCGTTTAGCACATAATTGATCTCAAACACCTCCAAGAACTCCATAGCAAGTTCCATGACCTGATAAGGACAAATGAATGCAATATGCAACCTAAAAGTGCCTAAACCTAATCTATATGCTTAACATGAATAAGAATGCAAGGTTAAAACTAAGTAAATATGCAGCATATCAGCGACCTGGCCACGTCGCTCCCGGAGGTCGCTCCAGGCAATAGAGCGGCTTGGCCAGGTCGCTCCCGGACCTCGCTCCGAAGCCTCATCTTGCGTGAAAACGCGAACGGCTCCTATGTGTCGCTCCCCATGTCGCTCTGAGTGCTGGAGTGACCTTCAGGTGTCGCTGCGAGAGGTCGCTCCGAGTTGGGGCTGGAGCGACTTCGTGGAGCGGCCTTCGTGTGTCGTTCTGATGTGGAGCGACCATAGAGACTCGCTCCAGCAACTTGCTCTGGCCTCTATTCGAGCAATACTCATCCCAAACTCCTCTTTTGGACCTCAAATCCACTCAATCACCTCCAAGAACTTCAAGGATACTCCATTACCTGAAAAGAACTTATGCATGCAGAATGCAACCTAGAAACGGCTAAATCCTAGTCTAAATGATTAGAATGCACATGAATGAATGGATAAAACAATGGAAATATGCAAGACATCACAGGTCCTGATCTAGAATCAGCTACTTTATATGGGTAAATTTGGGCTAACTCTTGATGTACTTGGGCAAGCACATGAGAAGGAGAAGGTTGCTTCATACCAACAAACTGAAAAGGGTCTTCAGATCCATCACTGATAAACTGCGAAGTTACCTCCTCGGAATGACGCTGCCATATACCATAATCCAAGGAGAGCACAGAGTTCAGCGTCAAGACCCATTTAAGAATTACCGTTAGCTGATGTTGAGGAGCTGCTAGGTCCGGCTATATAGAGTTTGAATCTATAAATTTATATCAACATAAATACATATATACACATTTAAAACTATTGATGTAAATCTTACATTTTTGGAAGGAGGATTTGAAAACCATAAAAGAGAATACTTGCAGAATAAGACAAAATTGTGAGAAAAGCATAAGATAAAAAAAATTAAAATCATGTTTAGTAGACTTTATTAGAAGCTTACTCTATCGAATAATTTTAACATCCGAAAAATATGTGCATTAAAAAGGTGAAAATAACTCTAAATCTGAAAAATAAAAAGTAGAATTTATAAGATAAACTATTAATAAAGTAAACACGTAGAGTTTGAATATGTAACTTTATTTGATTACATAACTTTATTTGAATATCATCATAAAAATACACATTTAAAACCTGAATCTTACATTTTTAGAGGGAGAGATGAAAAACATGAATTGTAAGAAAGACATAAGAAAGAATTAAGAAATTAAACTAGAGCTTTTTCAAATTTAAGGAGGTTGGAGAGAAATTAGAGAGAGAGAGAGAGAGAGATGAGACAAGAAGAAAGAAATAGATGAAAGGAAATGAAAATAGGAAAGGAGAAGAACCAACGTCGGTAACCAGCGACGCTGGAGGAAAAAAAAAAGTTCGGAAATTTTTCATAAAGAAAGAGGTAGGGGAGAAAGAGCAATCTTCTTTTTGTATTTTCGCCATAGATGATTTTAATCTTCTTCAAGAAAAGTTGGTAATAGAACCATGGGTCGAACTCAACTAAAGATTATTATTGGATCATATAATAAACTATATTATTACAAGGATAGATCTGCATTTTTTTTCTTGTTTTTTAATTAACATGAAATCTTTCAAACTTATGAAGGATCCAGACTAATTCCGATGAGAAATACAACCTAACAATGGACCTTTTCTCCTAGTACTCAAATGAGTGTAAGCAATGAACTCTATGGCTTAGTAACCCATAGTTCACCTACCATTAGACTACCATAAATGATTAGCATTTTCCTCTTTTGCACGAATAAAATTTTCTATTGTATGCACCACAAACAAGTTTTATGTAATGAAGGAAAGTAAAAAGAAAGAAACAGCGACAATGTCTGCATTATTTATGAAATGAAAAGCATTTTATGGACCAAGAGCTAAAACAAAACAACTGCATACAAGTTTTTAATGGAAACATGAGCTAAAACAAAACAACTGCACATAAGTTTTTAATGGAAACATGAAACACGTGAGCAGGCTCACACCAACCCAATCACGTTCCACTTATACGTCAAACCCTTTGCGTTGTACCCTAAAAGCTCGAATCTGCTGCCTGCAAATTAAATCAACTTCTTCCGTTATCTGTTAAATCATAATCGTATTATACTAATACTGATAAATATCTCCTCACCAGATTCTCTTGTCCAGTTGCACAGGTGGGTCTTCTAGGAGGAAGTTGCTTGCGAGGCGTTCTCTGAAAATAAAATAAAACTATAAGAAAAACACACAGTGAATAACTGAGAGTACTAAGACCAAGATTATCGGCACTTCTTAATGGAGTTGCTTAGTAATAATGACCCCAAAAATAAATCAAAATAAATCAAAATTAGGAAAAAAACTAAAGAACGTGGGTTAATTAAGAACTTTTCAATTACGTTCCTTAAGAGGCACGTGGCGTCGAGACAGGGATGCGTTCTTCCTCTGTCCTCCGTTTCGTTCGTTACGAAGCAAGAAGTGAAGATTGAGGAGCAGTTGGTGGATGCCATCAACGAACAAATGAAGCTCCAGGTTCCTTTCCTGGATGTCAAAGATGGAGGGGAAGACGACGATATTGTTGACGACGACGATGAGAACATCGATGGTACATTCCTCTTTTCTCGATTTGATTCTCTTGTGTCATTATATTGCCTTCGATCTGTTCTTGTGTTGATTTGTGATTGGGGAACGTGAGACTCTTCAAGATTTGAGTTTCAAGGTGTGTGTTTGATTAATTTGTTTTTTTTTTTATTTTAATCGTTTGGATCGATCATGAACTCTCCTTTGATGTGTTTGTATTTTTAATTTGAAAAAGGCGTCACCTTTCTGCTCTACTCTGTGTTGTTCTTGGTGGCTTACATGGATTCTCACACAAAACTTATTTTACTTTAATCTATCCTTGAGAGCTTAGATAGTAAAAACAAGAATGAATTGGTGCAGGTGGTTGCGCTCTGTCAAGCTCCGTTTCTACTAGATGACCCAAACGTTGGAATGATGTTTCCAGCTGATGCTATTTCCAGAGCTAAGCATTATCTCTCCTTGACCTCAGGCGGTTTAGGTATTATCATGCTCAGCAAAACTCATTAGTGTGGAAAATCAGAAAGTTTAATTCCTTCCTCTGTGTGTGTGTGTGTTTAAACAGGTGCTTACAGTGATTCAAGACGCATTCCAGGAGTTAGGAAAGAGGTTGCTGAGTTCATTCAAAGACGTGATGGCTACCCAAGGTTATGTTTACAAAATGTGTGTCTTAGAATAATGGAAACATGATGGACAACGAGGATGATATGCCTATTGTAGCGTATCCTGGACAGATAGTTTTGAAGGTTCGGTCACAATCATTCTTATACATGTTGAGAGTCATTCCTGTTGAGCTTTTTGGTTACTTCATTTCATCTAATGTGCTATCATCCGTGGTGCTTGTGGAAAATTCCCTTATTGAACTCAGTTTTGGTATCCAGGTTTATTCCAGCCGGAAACTGCAGAAGCATACACAGAAAATTTGAATTCTCGACTTGAGGTATGTTCTATTTCAAAAATTTTATTCTTCTGTGAATACTATATGAGTTCAGATCTTACTCCACCTTTGAAACTTTTGCAGTGTAAAGAGGAGATGGTGTTTGGATCTCAGATGCTTGTTACTCTTCCGGATACCAACTATCAAAACTTCAATGAATTGCCTTAGAATGAGGAGTTTATCCAATCCGATTTTTTGCTGTAAAAACCTGTTTGTTTTTCATCAAATGGATGTAGTATACGTTTTTAACATCCAAGAATTTGCTAAGAATTTGCTAAGAGACAATAAAAGTATCTACCAATAATGTAGACATTTACTCATGTATCTTAACTTTGTCTCTTAATCTTCAAATATTAATAAAAAATGTTAAGAGACTTTAATTTTTGTCCCAGCAATAATGTTGCTCTAATAAAATACATTTGGTACTCATGTAGGTAAGTATATTTAAAACGCTACCTGTAATTTGGGTCTTAAGTTTTCTATTGCCGCAATTGTTCTCTCATCTACACTTGCTTCTTGCTGTGGAATTTTAATAATTATATAAAATATTTTTTTTTAAAAAAATCACTTTCATATGTCCAAAAGAAGAAGGAAAAAGTAGATTGGAATATCAAAAATTCAAAGTTAGGTAGATTGCATAAGCTGACATACCTTGTGTAAAGCCCAATCTGCTGAATCAAAGAAAGCACGTTTGTGATCCTGCTTTGTTTTTGAAAATGGTTAGTATATTAACAAATGAAAATAATACGAATATATGAGAAAATGTGGGTTACTTAGACACCTTCGAGATAAGAGGTTTTTTTTTGGGCACAAGTCCTCCGTATTTGTTTGCTCCAGAGGTAGACTAAGTACAAAGACAAAAAATTAATCAGTTAAAAAATAAAGATATCTATTTTTTTTTTTGTTCAGTATTGAAGTCTATGGCAAAAAGATGGTGACGACAAATTCTAAACCATACCGACAGGTTAAAAAAAAGTTTTATGTCATAATCTGATTGTCAAGCGGACACTGAAAAAAAAAAAAAAACAAAGACCAAGGACGATACGGATGGATTAAATGACAAATTCAACCGATAATTTTAAGTAATTTGTACTGAATGACAAATTCACTATTATACAAATTTTAAAAATTCATTTAAAATCCACTCTTATTGAATTTGACATTTCATAAAGTACTCTAAACTCTACTGTTATTAAAAATATTTTAAATTGTGAAGTTTTAAAATTTTCAGTTGATTTTATGGTGGTGATTTTATGATATTTGAATGAAATTTCTTTTATAAAAAAATTAAAATCCAAATCTCATAGTTTTGGATAATATTCTAAAATAATTTAATAAAAATCACCTAAATCTTTACAGTTTACTGAAATCATCTAAAAGTCATTAAAAATTAAATCACACCAAATTTTAAATTGAACTAGATTCTAACCCGCTCTTTCAAAAGGGTAGATAATTTTTTGTTGTATTTGTTTTGAAAATTTTAGTTTTATATTTGTTTTATTTGTAATAATATTTTTGTTTTATATTAATTTAATTTAATATAATTTTGGTGACTTTATTAAATATGTCAAATTACATAACTACACTTGTGCCATATGTATATCAGAAATTATTTTAAAAATTTATTCCTACAATTTGTAACATATTATATTTTCTTTGTAGTGACTTAACATAATTAATAAAATATATTTGTAAATCAGAGGTTCATACTCTATTAGACGTGGCATATATACTTGAACGATTCATAAAGTTTTATATCGTAAAGCCAATATCACATTCAATAAATATTTTTAATCAATAACCTATTTAAAACCCATTAAACTAAATAGTTTTTGTTTTTTTTGTGCACCTAAATAGTTTATTTAAACCCCGTTAAACTAACTGAAACTATTATAAATGTATTATGTTGTATTTCTTATTAAATATAGTGTCTATAATGTAATAATAACATTCTATACTCCTTAACCGATATTATACAGAATAATTAACATATCATTATTGAAAGATATATCAATATGAAACTGTATACATAATTATATAAAGAATGTGTTATATTAATCAAATAAAAGGTTAAAATTCTAAATCAAGAAGGTTAAGATTATTGAATAACACAAACAAAAAAATTGGGTGGAATGCTATGGGAAGTAGTAAACATAATTTTGGTATAGACTCAAAAGAAAGCAATAATCATTATATCATATATAATTGTTGGCTAATACAAATATGAAAAAGAAATGGTCACGTATAATTTTGGACAGGAGGTTACAAATATATATTGACCAATAGAAGGTAGTTATAGAGATACAGTTTGCTTAAATTAAATGCAGTTAAAAATATATGGTTTATTTTTTTAAGTAGATGACATTAAAAATTAAATGTAAAACATAACTTTTTATCAATAGATCATGTTTCTCTTTTAATAGAATAGATACACCCCCTCTGAATCTATTGTTTGCGACCGTCCGTTATTATAATATCTTACTTTTATGCTTGTATCCAAAATATCTTCCACTCGACAACCAAAAATCCCGTTCAGAATCTAATTTAACTTCAAAATTATGAATAATAAATTGCAATAAAGACTGTCGGAATTAAAGTATTTAGTATTGACTTTGACCAGAAAAAGAATATTTAATATTGACCAGATAAGAAAGTTTAAAACAAAAGATAATGTCTGAATAGTAAACATTCGTAGGATGAAACCAAACGTGTACGCCGTCCTTAAGTTGCCGACGATTAATTTTGGAATGTACCAATTTTTATTGACTTGTAACTTGTTGACTATTACTACCTTAATTAATTAATTTTTTAAAACACCTTAATTTTACTTTAGAATTATTACTTAGTGTCTCTAATTTATAAACAATACTACGGTAGTCCAAACTTTTCTTAAAGTTGCAACAATAATGGGATTTACCGTTCAATTTGTTAAGATTAATTCAGAATCGTATATTTTTGCTTTACTTAAATGATAAACACTTATACACAGCTATAAAAAAAAATCACAGTAACAGGAGAAAAATTCAATTAAAACATCGTCGATTGTTCTGATTTATATATCTTACCTCTTGTTGTTGCAAAAATAAGAGATCGTCAGCTCTATTGTAATCCGTCGCCATTTCTCTATAACTTTTGCCTTTTCAGATTCCTTCAGCTCGTCCTTATCGAATCAATTAAACAAATAACAATCACTTAAGTAATGATGACAAAAACAATTATGCAATTTGGATTAAAACAATAATTACATCTAAAAAGATGACAATTAGGGTTAGAGAGAGAAACCTTAGAGTGGTTCAGAGACGGGGAAAGAAGAGGACGACGGTGGGATACGAATATGCGCTTAAGCCAGACTATATATATATATATACACACACACACGCTCATAAAATAATACATCACGTGTTCACACGTGCATTGTATTTAGGCAAAGGCTAAGCGCCACATACACTATAGGCCTGGCCATATAAATCAAGAAACCAAACCGGAATCTAACAGAAATATTGAATATGAAACCGAACTGTTGTTTACAAATAACCGAACTGTTGTTTTTCTTTTTTTGAGCAAACCAAACTGTTGTTAGAGTCATCTCCTATGTTACCCCAAATGTGAGAAGTCAAATCTCTTATGGCTCCCATAATCGTCTATGCCTTTTTTTGTCCAACAAAATGTGAATTGACGGAATTGCCTCTAACATGGGTGGAAAATAATTTTTTTTTAAAAAATACGAATTTGGTTCGGGTAGTAGCAGCTCGGATTGGTGGATTCGGTCTGAGGGAATGGTTTGGGTTATGGTTAACGGTTTGAAATTAAATTCAATTAAGAAAAAAATCTAAAACTAAAAGAAATTAAATGAGGTTTTAGGTTTTATCGTGTTTCCAGCTCGAGCTCACTCCTCTCCTCTCCCGAGAAGCTCGTTTTTTTTTTCCCAGAAACTCTCCGTCGAGCTCCTCTTCGGCCCAGAAACTCTGTTGTCGACGCCGTTAGCAACTCCGGCGACGCCGTCGGACCTAAACGTTTCCACCGGCTAGCATTCATTCATTTGAACAGGTCGTAATGCAGGTTAGTTATTCTCTCTTTGTGGGAGCTGGAAGATAGAAATTGGATCTAGGGTTTGTAGGTAACTAAGAACTACTTGTATAACTAAAACTATATTCTTTTGTTTTTGCAGGGTACAATGATGAAAAATGTGAGCGTCTATTTCAAATTCAAAGGGCAGATCTCTTTTGTGACCTTGAAGACACCCGTGAAGGATATAAGTTTTGCAATGGTAGAAGAAAAGTTGTATAAAAAGCTTGGGTTGGATGAAAGAATGGTAAAACTGGCATTGAAGTGCATGCCGATGGTGTATGGATCTGAAGAACAACAAAATATTCGTGATGATGATGATCTGTTTGGTTTCCTAACAACAATTGATAAAGACAACCGTAGAGCTCTTTTGTTAGTGGAGGAGACGAGTAGATCGGATCAGTTAGAGAAGCTGTCGAGAGTGGGCTAAGTTTGTTTGGTATGAACTACGATGTGTTGCAGGGAAATGATGATGTTGATGATAAAATCGGACCTAAGGCCATAACTCTGTATGTAGAAAATGGTGAAGCAAATCAACAGAAGGAGCTGATAGTTGCAGAGAATGATTTTATGGATACGGAAACGGACACCGCAGTTGGGACAGACACCACAGCTGGTACAAAGACCGCAGCGGAGACAGATACCGCATCTGAAACGGACACCGCAGCTGAGACGGATGTGGGTACATATTATGTTGAGCAGCCACCTATAAAAAAAGCTATTCAGTTTATAGAGGATTGGGAAGACGGTTTGGGTCTGATTAAGTTTCAGGAGTTTTCAAGTGAGAAAGCACTTCAAGAGGTGGTGGATAGAGCTGCATTTGGTCAATCCTTTCCTTATGTTATTCAAAAGTTGGATCGGAAACGCTTTGTGGTAAAATGTTGTGAAGGAAGCTGTAAGTGGGGTTTACGAGCTGCAAGGATTACTCTGACTCAAATTTTTCTGTTAGGAGGTACACGGGTGTGCATACATGCTCTCGATCTAATCAAAGTAAAATCAGCAACATCAAGAGGAAAGGCTCAGTAGAATTAGTTGCAACTTTTCTGAATGAGGAATATCCTGGAAAACTGAGAACTCATGTTCCGAAAGATATCATGGAAATTATGAAGCTAAAACTTGGTGTAACAATATCTTACTCCACAGCCTTGAGAGGGAAAAATCTAGCTATTTCTGAGTTGCGTGGTGGTTCAGAAGAGAGCTACAAGATGCTATATAGCTACTTGTACATGTTAGAACAAGTCAATCCGGGAACAAAAACATGGGTGAAGTTGGATGAGGCAAATAAGTTCAAGTACCTCTTCATAGCTCTGGGAGCTTGTATTGAAGGTTTTGCAGCCATGAGAAAGGTGATAGTTGTGGATGCCACATTTTTGAAGAATGTATATGGTGGTGTACTAGTATTTGCTAAAGTTCAAGATCCTAATCGTCACCATTATCCGCTTGCGATTAGTATACTCGACGGTGAAAATAATGCTAGTTGGACATGGTTTTTCGAGATGCTCAAAACTACTATACCAGACTCTTCTGAATTAGTTTTTATGAGTGATAGAAACCAGAGCCTCATCGCGGCTGGAGCTAATGTGTTTCCACAATCTCACCATGCCCATTGTATATGGCATTTTTCTCAAAATGTGAGAGGGCATGCTGCTAACACAACCAAAGCTGTAGTCGGATGGCGATTTATGGAGTTGGCTAGGTGTTACACAGTGGCTGAGTCCGAGTCTTCTTAAAAATCTTTTAAGATGAGATATCCTCCAGCGTACAAGTATTTGGAGGAGTATATTGAGAAGAGCACATGGGTTCGGGTGTATTTCTCAGGTTTCAGATACAACTTGGACACTAGCAACAATGTGGAGTCAATGAACAGTGTGTTTAGAGACGCCACGAGGTATGCTTTAATACCATTGTTGGATACAAGCATCAAGTCGTTTTCTGACTGGTTAAATGAACATCGGAAGGACGCTGTGTCGATTGATACCAAAGTGGTTCCTCTTGTCGAGAACCACACCCATAAAATATGGGGCAAAGCTGAGAAAACACCAGTGCGTGAGCTAAATAGTTATGATCTTGAGTATGAGGTAACCGACACTGATAATGGGAAGAATTATGTTGTGAACTTGATAGAGAAGAGCTGTACTTGCAAGTTTTATGATTATGAAAAGTATCCTTGTCTACACGGACTTGCTGCTTACTTATATTTCCTTGAGGTAGATGCTGCTCCTGGTCGTCGACGTGATATGAAGATAGAATATGAAGAGTTGTGCTCGAAATATTACTGGACGGAACTTTGGGCACTGGCTTATTACAAGACCATTTATTCTGTGCCGGACAGGTCTGATTGGAATGTACCAGACCACATCAAAGAGCTGCAGATCATACCTCCGGATCGACAAAAGAGGAAGGGAAGGAAAAAGAATAACATGAATCCATCTGTTAGGGAACGACGTAAAAGGACACAAAACAAAAGGCGAGCAAGGCAAAATTTCGGTTTCAGTTGGCTGTTGTTTGGAATGCATAGTAGTAATCCCAGTGAAGAAAACTGATTTCTTTTGTTTGGTATGTTGTTTTTGGTATGTTGCTTTTGAATAAACTGGTAAAACTAAGAATATCTTTTCTGGTTATAACTCTAATATTGAAATAGCTCAATAAATGCTGCAACTCCTCTCTCGCTCTCTTCTCTCTCTTTGAGGTCTCTCTCTCTCTCGTCTTCTCCTTCTCAGGACAAAATAGTGAAGATGCAAGGAGATGGATCGGGATCGTCTAGGAGAAGGCAAAATTATGGTCCGAAATTGTGTTTCTGTCACTTAGAGACAGCCATAAGACAAGGTTGGACAGACAAGAACCCAGGGCGGCGATTTTATGGTTGTCCGCGTTTTAAGGTATCCCACCAGATTATAGAACTAGAGATTATGATGTTAAAAATAGCTTTAAAATTGAAACTATGGTAGGAGAAAAATGGATGCAACTTCTTTGCATGGTTTGATGAAGAGGATGGTACATTATGGCAAACAAGAGCTTTGATTGAAGCCCGAGATGAGATCCCAGAGAAGACTGAGAAGATTGAGCAGTTAGAAGATACCATTGCAGATCTGAGAACCAATTTGGAGAAGCTACAAAATGAAGAGGAGATTGTTAAAAAGTTTGAGGAATTCTATGTTTAAGCAATCTTAGCAATGTATAAGTGTGTTTTAGAACCCCTGTTTACGTGTGTTAGAACCTTTGTTTACGTGTTCTCGAACCTATGTTCAAGGTCGTATGTTTAAGGTATGTTTAATTTGTTTTCGACTGCCTAAGAGATATATTGGAAAACCACGAAAAACTTGTATAACAAGGTGAAAATATGATAAAAATTACCATGATTCGAACATCACTTGCTAGACATGATCCGATTATTATAAGTCTTAATACAACTATTCGAACAACATACGTCTTAATATAAGTCTGAAAATAGATTAGTGAAAATGACAAATATTGACAAAACTCAATAATGAAAAAAGACTCAGCTTCATCACCTGTTATACTAGTTAATATGTATAGTCCTTCCAAGATCAATTCGTTGATAAGATCATCTTATAAAGGAGCATTCTATATTTTTCATAATTTCAAAGATATTATTGCACTAATCATTTATAATTACATGGCAATGCAGAACAATGACAAGTAAAACTTCCTTCACAAATTAAAACTATATGTAAAACTAAAAAATGTTGAAATCACGAAAAGTAGAACTATGAAGACAATTGATAATACCAGTAACTTGAGTATAACTAAGAGAAAAAAATTCAGAGGGAAAATAAATATTAGTTTCGTGCGAAAACGAAAAACCTCAAAATTTTCAATTATTTTGGTCAAAAAGTAGATTTCCTCTGTTTTATTTTCTCTCTTTGGTCTGGTCTCGTCTTTTCCTAGAGACTTTTTCACTTCCCAAGCACTCTCTCTTTCTACTCTCTTTCTCGCGACTCTCGCGAAACCACATTTTTCTTTATCCTTTCTCTTTCACTCTCTCTCTACTCTGTATTCTCTCTACTCTTGCTCACCATGACTCATCCGTATGAAGAGATGAAGGAAATGAAGAAGCTGAAGGAACACTACGACATGTTATGGTTCATTTGCTCTGCCCAATATGGAATTCCTACCCGTTGCCCATGTGGTGGTGAAATAAAGACGGATGTTTCTCCAATTCCGAAGTACAAATCATATTTCGATACCTTGCCATGGAGTAGGTACTTCACTTGCGAGAAGTACGAGGTAATTATCGTGTTATACTGCGTTAAACTGTGTTATACTCTTGGTGAAATTGTGTAATAATCTGGGGAGGGATGAAATTGTGTTATACTTTTGGTGAAACTGAGTAATACTCTTGTGAGGGTGAAACTGTGTTATACTGTTGGTGAAACTGTGTAATACTCTTGTGAGGGTAAAACTGTGTTATACTCGTGGTGAAACTGAGTTATACTCTGGATGAAACTGCAGGACGATGGGATGCACTTCCGTCAGCCATGGGCTTTCGGTGTAGAGGAAGAACTGCAGCGCCTAAGGACGGAGGTGAAGAATATGACCGAAGAGATTGTTAAGCTTAAGATACTTATTACCTCCAGTTCCCGTCCATGAGATTCTAAATTCTCAATCCTGTGTCTTCCCTACCTATCTTTTTTTATTATTTTGCGGTTAATATAAGTCTTGGTTTGTTAAGACTTGTATAAGTTTATGTGTTCAAGATACTCTTATGTTGATCTTTATGTTAAGCACTCTTATGTTGATGTTAAGCACTCTTTTGTTAACCACTCTTATGTTATCAATTACTATACTGATTAAAATACAGTTCTAATAAACTACTTTCCTAAATTCATCAATGTAGATTACCTCTCACTTTCACTCGAACTACAAAGCTTATAAGATCGCAAATTATATAGTCATAATGTAGTTATAACATACTTATAAGTTATAAATCCACAGCAGAAAAAACGAGAAATACATCCAAAGACATTGTTTGTCTACTTCATAAAAAACATAAAACAAAGTTCTAACAAACATAAAACAAAGTTCTAACAAACATAAAACAAAGTTCCAAGGAAGTTCTTCATGCTACCTCTCACTTCTTACTGCGTCTCTTTTTCTTTGCTTTCCTTAGTGCTGGTGCTTCTTCTTCTGTTGTTTTTCATCTGTCTTTTCAGAAACTTCATAACATCTACTGCTTGAATCAACTGCTCACCTACCTGTACTCCATCCTTGTTGCCTCTTCAATCGCTTCTGCCTGTTTTTCTTGCGCAGCTACATCTTCGTCGTGCATGTCTTTAGAAAAAACCTTAAAGCCTGCATCCAGACACTTCTCCCAACTGTCCACAGCTATATCAGATTCATTAACATCGTCTTCATATTCCAAAATCGTATCCAAGAGTGTTTCTTCGTGTGTACTTCTGGTGGGGATGATGCTGTGAATTTCCTGTCACAAACACATTTAATTTTCAAACTTAGCAACACATGCCTACCATAGTTCTACCATAGTTCCGTATTTATTCCTACCTAAGTTCTACGACAGATTTACTTAAATCCTACTCTAGTTTTACCCTAGTTATACCACAGTTTTACTCTAGTTCTACTATAGTTCACAGGAAAACTTACAGTTGTGTTAGACAATTCCTTGTTTATCTCATACAGTGACACCCATGTCATTCCATTTCGTTTGAATGAGGACTTGCACATCCTCAGCCAGTTGACATCAGCTCCTTCAGCTTCAAAATTTTCTTTGACTGCCATTCCTAGCTTAGGAATTGCCTCAAATGCTAGAAGCTGTAAAAAACACAACATTTATGTTGTACCATCATTAAATAACAGCAATCAAATCATTACTGGGATTTACCATACCTCTAATGGAACACAGAAATCTGGAAGCGGCCATAATATGTTCTCTTTCACTACCCCTCCAAAATGCTTCATTGTGTGAGCGATCTCCTTCAGCATGTAATCAAAGGATAATCTCCCCCATGGAAATGACACACAATAGTCTAGATCATCCACTGATCTCTAGAACACCTCCAGCACATCATTAGCCTTGTGTCCAACCTTCGTTTGCGCGCAGATAACAAAAGCTAAGAAGAATAGAATCGCCATCTTCAGTATGTCTTTGTGGGATCCCATGTTCACCAGCTTTCTCTTAACATCCTCCAACCTTCTAGGTTCTCCTTCCTTGAAATGTCGATCAACGAACTTTGTCCCACCAAGCTGTTTGTAGCCGAGAGGATAGTTGTGGCAATATAGCCTAGATATCAAACCGTGTTCCCTCAGCCCATACCGGATGGGAACGCTATTCACATTGAACCACTCTTCTCTCTTCCTCTCGGTACCTGCAGTACGCAGCAACAACATCCACATTCCCTGAACCCTGTGGTTTCTCTCTCTTTTCATGTGGAAAATGTGTTTGAATTGAGCATGCTCCGTGAACCACTTCCACTTCGTGTTAGAAAGCTTCGGGTTTCAGATGGCTTAGCATATCAATTGCGCTAGCTATCATACACCTTTCCCCAGCTTTATTTGTTTCGTGTACTCAGTTGGCTTGAAGAACATTTTGGTTGGTTTGATTGGCTCGGGTGCCTCATTTCCATTCAAATCCAGCTATTTATAGCAAAGTTATATCAAAGTTATGCCAAAGTTATAGCAAAGTTAAGCAAAGTTATACCACAATTATACAACAGTTATACCAAAGTTATGCCAAATTTATACCACAATTATACAACAGTTATACCAAAGTTATGCCAAAGTTGTATCCAAGTTATACGCATGTCGAAGTAATTTTATTTTTCCTATGTTGTGCCACAACAAACAGTTTTTCAAATAGTTTTCCTAGTATTACTAACATTAACACACTCGATATACTAGTTCTCCCTAATCATATTATGACTTAAATTAAAACTCATCGATAATTTGTTACCTGAGGTTCAGGTGGATTCTCATTGTTGTTTGCTTCCAAGCCATATACTTCTCCATTTGCTTCCGAACCATGCTCAACTCTTTCTCCATTTGCTTCTTCTGCTTGTTCACCTTCAGAATCTTCATTCTCCTGGTTAAAATCCTCTTTCTCTCCATCTTGTTCTTCCTCAGAACCCTCCTTCTCTCCATCTGGTTCTTCTTCAGAATCATACTTCTCTCCATCTCGCTCTTCTTGTTCTTCTTCAGAATCATTCTTCTCTTCATCTTCATCTTCTTGTTCTTCTTCAGAACCCTCTTTCTCTTCATCTGCAGAAGCTGGAGGAGATGGAAACTTTGTTTTGTGTCGTCGACGGAGCAGTTTCTGCAGCCACATTACTCGGTGGAGCAGTTTCTGCAGCCACATTACTCGGCTCTGTTATCTCTGCCGTATTCTCTATCGAGACATTAGTCGTCTTCTCCGTCGCAACATCCCTCATCTTCTCCGTTAAGACATGCGTCGTCTTTGTCGTCGATTCTTCCGTCGTCTTTTCCATGGATTCAACAATCTCCACCGCCCTCGTTTCACTCTTCTCCGTCGTCGTCTTCTCCATATTTTCTCCGGAGGCCGTCTTTAAAAACTGCACTCTCGGACCCTCTTCCTCCGACCGCTCCTCTTCTTCAGTTGGATTCTTCTTCCTCTTACCCCGTCTCGTTTCAACCACCAACGCAAACAGATTGATTTCTCTTACTTCTATCCTTTGATCTTTCTCAATGCGAGTCGAGTCTCAGACGGTTGATTTTGAGAGCACTAGGGTTTGGAAAAACGAAAAATGAGAAATTGAGAAATTTTATCGAAAATAAAGAAAGAAGTGGGATGAAAAGTCAAAGAGGGTATATTTGTTGGGTACAGCTCTCAAAAAAAGGCTATAGAGTGTACTTGCTTGGAGAAAGCATAGTAGACATCTCGAGAGATATCATCTTTGAAGAAAACAGAAAATGGGACTGGAACAAGAAAGAAGTGGTCAAGCCATATATTATGTCAATGAAATCTTTTCAAAGAGAAGAAGGCTCCACAAGTAATACATCAGAATCAAGTGACGATGAAGCAAATGAAGGAGAAAGTGCTCAGCCAGATTCAGAAAGTCGAAAAGAAGTCTCTACCGCGAAACAGAAAGACTAGAACAATTGATGACATTCTATTCACTGCACCATATGCAGACATTGAATATTCTGCAATCGTTGAAGGGTGTTTGGCAAGTTCTGAGGAACCAGCATTGTTTAAAGAAGCTGCAAAACATCAGAATGGTGAGAAGCAATGAAAGAAGAAATAAAGATGATAGAGAAGAACAAAACCTGGAGCCTAGTTCAAAGACCAACTGACAAGAATGTTGTGGGTGTCAAGTGGATATACAGGTTGAAGACTGATGCAAATGGAAACGTTGTAAGGCACAAAGTAAGGGTAGTTGCAAAAGGTTTTGCTCAACAATATGGAGTTGACTACTTTGAGACATTTGCCCATATTTCAAGACATGAAACTATAAGGATATTACTTGCAGTTGCAGCTTACATGGGTAGAAGCCATTGCAAGTCCAACCAATGATGCTGAGTTGTTCTCAAGCTGTTTAAAAGAGTCATATTCCCAAAATTTGGAGGTCCAATGGTAGTGATCAGTGATGGAGGCTCTCACTTCATCAAAAAGATCCTTGAGAGCTTACTAAGAAATAATGGAGTCAAGCATAAGGTAGCAACACCTTACCACCCCCAAACCAGCGAACAAGTGGAGATCTCTAACAGGGAGATCAAAGCCATCCTTGAGAAGACAGTGGGGACTACGAGGAAAGACTGGTCTCTAAAACTCGACGATGCACTTTGATATCACCTTTGGGAGCAACCCCCTTTAACCTTGTCTATGGAAAGACATGCCATCTCCCGGTTGAGCTTGAATACAAGGCCCTCTCGGCAATCAAGCTCCTAAACTTTGATATCAAAACCGCAAGGGAGAAGAGACTGATCCAACTGAATGAGTTAGATGATATCAGACTAGATGATTTTGAAAGCTCTCGGATATACAAGGAAAAAACAAAAGCATTCCATGACAAGAAAGTCTTGAAGAGAGAGTTCATGATTGGGGATCAAGTGCTATTCTACAACTCTCGGTTGAAGCTGTTTCCCGGGAAGCTCAAATCAAGATGGTCTGGACCCTTTCAGATTAAGGAAGTAAAACCTTATGGAGATGTTGTGCTGGGGAACAAGACTGGTGGTGATTTCACAGTGAATGGTCAAAGGCTAAAGCTTTACATGGCAACCGCAACAGAGAATCAAGGAATCTCAATTCTCCTCTCTGGCCCAATCTCAGCCTAAAGATCAAGAAAAACAAGTCAAGCTTAGAGACTTAAAAAAAGCGCACTTGGGAGGCAATCCCATGTTATTTTTTGTATATATTTATTTATGTTATTACTAATGTTTTGCAAAGGGTTTATTGGATAGATGGAAGAGGTCAACCAACAAGTTTAGAGGAGCTCTACATCTACTCCACAGGGTCAATCAAATCTCCAAGAGCCAGCAGAAGATCCCAGTCTATCTCCATCCTGCCTCCAGCAAAGCGCTCTGTAATTGTTTTTCCAACCCTGTGCACATTTAGTTTTTATTTTGTCTTTCTCTTTAGGTCTTTCCTTCACCTTTACTATCACACAAGAGACTGTGCGAAGTAAGTTTTGGGGAGAGACATGTTGTCTCACCGTCTGCTTCGTTTTCTGTGAAGTTTCATGCATCACATTGTTAATACTTATTGCATAGAACACTCATAAATTTTTTAAAATTTGAAAAAACAAAAACAAGCATTTAGATTCATCTTGCTGCATTTTCATTGACTAGGATCGAGTCTAGAAGCATATAGGTTGCATTTACATGCATATGAAGATGCTGCAAAGAACTCAGTGTGATACCCCTTTCAATCATAGTTAGTAGCATGAGCATCTCTTGAAAAACTTGTAAGTTTCGAGCCTTGAAAACTCCACTTGAACTTATTGCTTGTTTTAAGTTGCTCGTCCTTGATTCCAACTCCAGTCTACTTGAGTCTAATGAATCTAAATTCTCTCGCTTATGGGATCTTGATACTTGATCATGGATACTTTATACACACTTGGATTGTATTTTCTCCATTTCCACCAATCTCTGTTGATCCAAGTGGTCATCTACATCTTTGGGATGGTTTCCGCAACAAAAAGTGGAAATCCTACACTGTCGAGAAAGATTAATTGAGTGCGACGCGAGCGACTATGCAGTAGGAGCAGTGTTGGGGAGAGAACCATATCGAGTGAACACTATACTGTAGTTGTAGTATAGTGATAAGTATTTCCGCTTGTCGCGCGGGTACCCGGGTTCAATCCCCGACAATGGCACCAAATTGGATAAGGACTTTTTACAATTCTAGTATCAAAGTAGTACCGATGAATGTGGATCCAATAATAAAACAAAAATTAAGATAACAGAGAGCTAAACAAGTTTTCAATCAATATTAAGGAAGAACCCATGGGTATAAGACAATTGAACTAAGATGACTAGTGATACGTCCTGAGATTGGATAGAATCACTCAATAAGACTGATGGAGAAATGACTATGAAAAAAGAACTGATGGATGAATGGTGACACAAAAGGCTGCGAAAAAACCTCTTGATACTACCAGGATTTCGATGTTGCTTGATGTGACGCACAAGTCCAAAAATTGAAAGGTTTGTTTATAAGGAGATAACCTCACCAAGAAACAGAAAAGTTCTAAACATAGAACAAAGAGATAAACTCATAAAAAATGGAAAAATAATTTTCTTCATTTCGTGGCTCATAGGCCCTATTTATAGGATTGAAAGTTGTAGAATTCCAAAGAAGAATTTGCCAAAAACAAGACATTGAAAATAGAAACAAAGACTAAGACTTTTGACTAGAAATGAGTGTGTTGTTGAATGCCTCTTTGCCTGCCACGACCTTGACTCATTTGTTGACTCTCTCTTGGTTTACTTGATGAGAATGGGCTTGAAAAGGTTTGAGGAAAAGGATGGTCGAATTTGGGAAGAAACAAACCCATAATGAATTTTTTATGAACTTTTCTTTGGGCTGAAAAGGGCCAATTTCGCCCAGCAGCTAAACCAGCTTCATCTTTAGTGTCGAATAGCTCACTCAGCTCAAAAATAGTGTCACTTAACTCACTTATATCATCCAGATCCAAAGTAGTGTCGGTACAGCTCACTTGAATGTGCACACATCTCAATTCGCGAGAACTGAAGATCATCTGATTTGTAAATAACATAACTCCTACATCTGAACTTCGTTTGATCTGATTCTTCTTCGAAGAGCTCCATAATTGAGTTGAGCATATTCTCCAAGTGATTTCATGCGTAGATTCACCGTGGTTTGGAAGATATGAGACAAAAGTGAACATATATATTTACTGCTTCCAATGATCGAGCCATGTATGTCTGTTTTGCCTAGTGCTCCACCCAAGGGTGCATCATTCCCTCCCTCTTGAAAAGGATTTGACCTCAAATTCAGTTTACCTTCGAGTTTTAAAATTATTTTCCTCAAGTATATGCATCTCCAAATCGTAGGCAGATGAACACGGTCCATGCTTTTATTTTTTTGAGACTGAACATGTTTTTTCCTGAACACTTAAAACAGAAACTAAAATACCAAGATCATATGTGCAAGACAAGTACTTGTTCAAATCAGAATCCAACATTTCTTTCCCCAGAACATGTAGCACACGTTTCAGTCTCTCAAAATGCACATCAAAGTAGTTATTACAGACCAGAATGATATCAAGGCATGTAACAATATTAATCATTTTCAAAACGTGCTTATCCTTCTCAAAATCAGAACACAAAAGATTAAGTTCAGATTGAGAAACATTGATAAAAGGCTCAATATGTGGTTCAAAGAATGTGTTGTGGACCAGAATGTTGTCAAGGCAAGAAATACCATAGAAAATTTTCAAAACGTGCCTAACATGATCAGAACCAGGACACAAGAGTTCAAGATCAGATCCAGAATAAGAATGGGCAGGTTTCAAAACAAAATCACAACAAAAATCGGTTTTAGCTCTAAGTGATTTTGTTTTCTGCAACTTACTAGCCATTAGCTCTTTCCAGGCACATATGGGAGAAAACAAATTATCAGTGATCAGTTCATGACTAGGAAAACTCAGATAAAAACCATTATCCTTAAAACAAACAAAGGAATCACAAGGTTTTTGGAAACAAAAATCTGGTTGTTGCAAAATAAGCTCAAATGATTTTCCAAGGTGATCAAAACCTTTGTTACGTTTCAAAAACTGATCAAATCTCAAAACAAGACCAGAAATAATGTTATTGCCATTTTGAAAATGTTTTTTTATCAAAGAGTTTATCAGGTTCAAGTTTCTTAAAAGAATGAATCATGTTATCAAAAAGAAATTAATTTGAAACACAAAATTCTTTTACTTTTTCAAGACCAAAACGTTTTATGTCACTGGAACTGACTTTAACAAACAAATCAGACACATAAAATATGATACCAAGTTCCTTACAGTGCTCTTGTGGATTAGGAGACAAAAGCGCATGAGTTGTGCCGGGATCAAAG